ACATTCATAAATTTCCTTAATGTTGCAACTGAAGAGTGTTTCTGTCTTGTGCCATTGTACAATTACCTACTGTAGACTTATTATAGAAAGTCTGTTCCTTCATAAAACACTACGTCCCCTAAGTTCCTTCCCCTAAACACTAGGGGAAGGAAAAAGACTATAGTGCACCCAGTTCTAGAATTTTTCATCCTGGATGCCAGACACTTGGTGCCACTGCTCATTTTCCAAATGAGCTGGAAGAGATACACAATTATTCTTACATCACTCTGACAATTTTTAGGGTCCCTCATGAACCATCTAGAGAGCAATCAAATTCTCAAGATGTGCTCAGCTAATATTTTCATCTTAAAAAATGTCAGCAGACTAGAATTTTAGCCAAAAATTGGCTACACCGGGGTTTGTAGAAGAGCAAAGAGAAGTTAAAAGGAAGATATGACTCTATTTTTTTTAAAGTCTATTCCCTTATAGTTATATTTTATGAATCTTAAAAAAAAATAACTGCCTTAAATGTAAATCTTTCAGGGAATTTTAAGGAGAGGAAAAAATGAAATATTGTACAATCCACCAAAATGAAATCCATTAAGGCATAGAGGAACTCAATTCATGGAATCTGCTACTATTTAGGAATAATTAGTAATTAGTAATCGGCTATTCTCTAATTTTAAATGTTTAATTGGTCTATTACATATAAAAATTTCAGGAAATCATATAGATATGCATGCATTTAAGGAAATTATTTGTAGAATTTGTGGGAGATGAATGCTACAATACTTATATTCAAAGATACATATTTTAAGAAAGTTGCACAGAGTGGTGTATATGTAAGGGAAAGAATCAGAAGTATCACCTCTAATTTAATATACTGATTTTCAGTAGTTTTCCAAGTTACTGTTTTGCCTTATACATTATATATCAATGTTTTTGTTGTTTTTGTTGAGAAAACATTTGATAAGGTTTATAAACATTCCTATTCCAATGCTAGAATGTTCCAGATCAAGATGTGGGAAAGAGTGCATTTGGTTGCAAATGAGAACATGAATATGAGTGGAATGATAACCTGATGAAATGGAATAAACCAAGCATTCGTGGATATAAACTTTATAGTAAAGTCAAGGAAGACCCAATGGGAAAGAGGTTGGTCTTAATGTCATGGAAAGTATAAAATCTAACACGGTAGAAAATATTGGAAGACCAGATTCCTCTAAAAAAAAGTCATCATGTATGATTAGCAATATCTGGTCACAATGTAAAATCTAGGGTATGCTCTTGCCTTCCTGAGAAAAATATGGAGAACAAACTTGAGATGTTGAAAGAAATCAAGGAGACATGCAAAATAAAACTTTGTAATACCTTACAATAGCTGCTGACAACCATGATTTTTAATCAACAACACTGAACATGACGTTAGATTTAGCATACATGCAAATAGGAAACTGGTGCTCTTGAGGTTGGTTGTTTTCTTGCAGGACATTTCATTACCCAAACTAGATAATATTAATAGGGCTGTTATGGAGTGGTTCTTTTTATTTTTTCAGCATTGATGTCAACCCAGAGCTGCAAACAGTCTCCCTTATAAAAAAATTGACATCCTGGTTTAACAGTCACATTTGACCATAAGTGGAGAAGCTTCTAAAATATAAGGGAAGTTCTATAAAAGAAATTTAAAGTCAATGGGCTAAATATCATGGGCGCTGCTGATTATTTAAAACCAAAGTAATTGAAACTCAGGTAAAATTTGTTCCATAATGAGTAGATAAGTTAAAGAGTTATTAGAATAAGATGAACAAAAATTGTGAGACATCCGCTAATTGCATAAACAAATAATACTAGAATAAACACATCCTGTGAACAGAAATATTCCTTCTTAATGCACATTTCTGGATCAAACCCAGTGATAGAGAAAATAAAAGCTGTTTGAAGGAAGAAGGGCAATCTTTGTATGAAAGACCATGCAAAAAATAGCTTCTGTCCCTGTTTCTCACAATAGTTGAACTGTTTATTTTTATTTTTTTTAGTTTTTAATAATACTTTTAGGACTTTTACTTTATGCTAATTTATGTTGCTTTCTGTAATCTCCAAATAGCTTTACTTTAATAATAAGCCTTAATAAAATGGCATTTGTAATCTTACGGAAACCCTCACCCTCACTTACACTGGTGAGGTTATGTTGTTGAGAAATGAAACATCTGGAAACAAACAATCAAGCTCAGAGAGCACCACAATTCCAAAGTCTTAGAAATGTATGTCACCTAAAATGGATCTCTAAATATCAGCCTTACTTTGCATAACAATAATAAGAAGCAACACCAATAACAATAAAAATATGGGAATTTTCTTTCTATAGCTGGTTGATCTTTTTCTGGATGTATTCATTCCATTACAGAATGAAGAATCATCTATCAGAGGTGCTTCACTGTGGATTCTTGCAATGAGCAGGAGATTATACTTGATTATCTAAAGGACAGTTTAAAACTCAATTACCGAGCTTTATCCATGTTTCACAGTGAAATAAAATGAGTTTAAAAATTGCTTATCTCATTGTCCTTAAAAGGGAATTCCAAAGTACATTATAGTTTTGTTGGGCCTAGAGAAAAGAAAGTTAAAGGATGATTTCAGAAACATTTTGGTTATTTCTTTTTTCCTTAAAGAGTATATTTCAAAAGGCATCTACTTTGTTAAAGTAGTATTCATTTTAAACATACCCTACACCTCTTTTTACCTTTTAAAAGATGTTTTTGTTTCACCATTCTTCAAGACTGAATGTTCTGCATGGCACTGTGATGTAAATGAGGAAATTTGGGACCTTTTAGAGAACAGAACACATTTTCACTATAATTACTTTATAAAAACCTATCTCTCTATAACACAACTTTTTTGTATTTCTTAGCGATACTGTCATACTTTAAATAAGAATTTATCTGGTTCTTTTTGTCTTTATGTCTTAATCCACTTCATCAATTAAGAGGTCAAACCACCAAAAGATTTAAAACACCATAGCTTTCTTTCATCAGGACATATTCTAAACTCCTTTCCCTGATGATGCTGATTGATTTGTATTTTATTGCTTCTTCTTCACATTGGAGAATAAAAGCTGATTGAAAGCAGCAGCTGTTCTTATACTATACTCCTCTAAATGGTGTGTGTGTGTGTGTGTGTGTTCTCAGTGAATGAAACCTGTGAATTCTTGTTCTGACATCATTTCTTGCTCAAATGTGCCAAAGAAATAAATGTAGTTTTGCCACAGGGCATACTTTTATCTAGGGAACTCAGTCAATCCTTCTCACTCCTGCTTTGATCTTGCCTAGATATCAATGGGCATAATCGTTTAGATCCAGGTAAATGTATGTGCAGTTAATTAATGTAATTCTCTTACCAGCCATTGTAAAGCTCCACGCTGAATTTTCCTCCACCAATTTGCAAGATTATTTTCTCCTTAGACTCTTAGACAGTTCACCTTATAAGGAGGAACACGTAGGAAGATTGGAGAAAAGGGGAAAGATGGCCACGTTATGCATATATTTGTTTTGATGCAAGGATGCTATTGCTATAATATTCTGATAGTTATTGACAAATTGAAAAACATTTTCCCAATTCAGATGCTGAAACTTCATATGGATTGGTAAGTGTATGAAATTGTAGTTCCTCTCACAAAATTACAGAATTTGGTCCTTTCAGAAGTCTCTCTACTGAAGGGTTGAATTTTTTTGTTTTATTTTTTGAGGAAATTCAGCAAGGACTCATAAAATTAAAATCTGAATTTTTAACTTTCAACTTGCAAACTTGGTCCAGATAATTTGCAATAGGTGTGTGATTAAAAATAAATTTATTTTTTTATTTGGTTATCTACAGATCTTCCATTCAGGTTTTAAAGAGTTCATTACATATTTAATTATACACATTCACATTTTTAAAATACTCTAGGGGATGTATCTTACTATTGTTTTCATAGGAGTACAGATCAATTTAACTATGAACACTTTCCTCAGCTGACATTTTCTGTCACTATTGATTCATTAAATGCAAAATGTATCTTCAAGTTTCTCAAACTAAACATATATCATTATAATTGTGATTTGCTAATGTTGTTTTTTTCTAATTATTGCTCTCTATACAAGTTAGTATAATGATTGAACGTACAATTAATATTTCACTTGTCTGTTATGCTTGTTTTTTCTGATATTGCCTTTAATTCATTTTTCAGAGTGAAATAAATATAGACCTATATGAATATAATAACATTATCTAATTATTCATCTTGGTTGGTAGAAAAGAGACTATTAACACATTTTGTTAGCTTATTAACTTCTCTTTATTTTCTTCTAGTACCTGTATGATATGTTTTGTTCTATTTAGTATATTTGTATCTTCCTTTCATTTGTCACGGAGTAGACGCTGCATTTCTAAAATAATCTTGCATGTAGGAAGTTAACAAACATCCTCAGTTTTAACCAGAATGCTAGATTGTGTGCCTATAAATGAGCTTCTAAAGGCTGTCTAAGACTTGATGCATGCATCTTCAGGATGCATTTTTAGAATAGCTACTTTAAGGTGCATTCATAGTCTGCATAAACACATTTTGATTTGGATCACCACAGGATCATTATATACTATATTGATCTTCCAAGAATGGATTAGAACATACCATTTGACTAGTATGATTCTGTCTTGTTTCTATATATTCCTGGATTGGCATGCAACTAATTCACAAGTTGCTAAACTTCTTACTTATTTTGTAACTTTGGAATGTGTTTAAGGAAATAATTAGCCACTAATAGAAGGAGGAAATGATTACATAACAAATTATATGACAGTTATTGAGTCATATTTGCAAATGCTGAAGGGTCATATTTGCAAATGCTGAAATTGATCTATTTCTTTTTAAATGCAATCCTAAACTTACTTATGTGGTAAGTAGAATGTAGTTTTGACCTAAAAGTTTAGGATTAGTTATTTTTTTAAAGATTGAATAATTCAGTTATATTTCTCTTTTTCCTTTCTAGGGCCTTCAAATCATCACAGCCAGTCAACTCTGAGACCACCTCTTCCACCACCTCACAATCATACTCTATCTCATCACCATTCTTCTGCCAACTCCCTCAACAGGAATTCCTTAACAAATCGGCGGAACCAGATCCATGCACCAGCTCCTGCACCAAACGATTTGGCCACCACACCTGAATCTGTTCAGTTACAGGATAGCTGGGTGCTGAATAGCAATGTGCCACTTGAGACCAGGTAGAAAAATGTTCACATTTGCAGAATGATTTTAATACCATTCCTTTTTTGAAGAATGGCTTTGAGACAATTCACGAGATTAGTTGAGATTTCTAGAGGGGGAACCATTCTTTGTATAGCATGTTCACATGTCATTTTTGTATTATTTATTAATTTATGTAATTTGTATAGATGCCTATCTCATATAAATGATTCTTGATAGCATACAATAAAATATATCAAAAAACTAAACATAGTAGGTCAAGATACTTCATATATAATAAAAAAAAACACATAGCAGTTGAGTTTCTTAAATAACTATCAATAAAACCAAGAGACAGGCACTATTACACTCTCGGGGCTCCAGGGTCAGCCACAAAACTAAGTTTTTAGGGACTTGCAAATGGTGAGCAGGGTCAGGACTGATTTAATCTCAGGTGAAATTAATTACACAGTGTGGGTGCCATAGCATAAAAGACCTTTTTTCCTGTAGCCAAGTTATGTTTAAGTGGGTATAGCCCTTCATAAAGAGCCAGGTGTTAAGGGGCTGGATGTTAATAAGGCAGAACAATGATTTCAATAAAAGAATTTTAAGCAAGTTCATTATCATCAAGAAGACTTTGCAATGTTTTATCTTGTTTTAACCAAACTGATAAAAAGAGCTTTTCTAATAAATAACAATGTCGTACATAACAATATAATGTAACCAAATTCCTAATTTTTAATCTGTAAATTTATTTAATTAATGTTGATCAATTCAAATTATCCTTGTTGGATACATAGCTATTTGTTAGTCATATTTTGCAAATAAATTTCATGTCACATATTCTACTGCAAACCACAGGAAGGTGTTACAAGGGTATACCGACTAAGTGTTACTAATGCATTATGCATTTGGCTCCTTCTGTGGTAATAAATAGACTAATTTGAAAGTAAATATTTTGGAAACCTGAAAAAACAATCACTGATTCAAGACAGACCAAAGTATAATTTTCATTTATACTTCATCCAACGTGCAGTCTTATTTAAATCTCCCTTATATACTGTCGATTTGATACCTGCAGGGCAAATGCTAATGTTTTAAGAAGTCCTGTGTTTGTTGACTGTGACAGAAAGGGGGAAAAAACTGTTATTATTTTTTACATTTTGCTACTTCTTTAATTTCAGTGTCTGTTTATAAATGCATCAAATATACAGATGCATTACAATACAAAAGTACAAAAAAGTTTTGTACTGTAATACCTCTAAATTTTTTGTAGAGTTTGTAAATGTAGACTGAAATTTCTTAAGACTATTGCTAATTTCCCTTATCACTCCTTCTGATCTTTTGTGTGAATCTATGTTCCCTTCTCACATTCCTAGTAATATGTTTCATTTTCCAATAGTTGCCCCTTTGTAGAGCCTAGATCCTAAAGTAAATTACTTACAACCTACATAGATTTTGTATGTTTAAGGCAAGAATCAAAGTATCAGGTAGCCTAAACTACTAAGTTGTCCATTCCATCTGTGTGCTTGAGTTTTATATAGAATGACAGTTCTGAGGCATATCCATGATGATAACGATAGATCCACAGCATAAGCTTCCCTTTGTTTCTCCAAATTGGGATAGAACTCTGAAGCCAGACCCTGACATGCACTCTTGGAAAATAAGGCAGAACAATCTACCATATACATAGACATAATATATATTACAGAATATAACCATTAGTATTTCTATGAAAGAGGCAAAACTCACATAACTTGTGTGGATAAAATATCTTTTTATCTCTGTAGTTAAAGCCCATTTAAATCTGTAATCATTAAGACTGGGAAACACAATTGAGAAAGCTGAGGACAGAGATGACTAAGGTCATTATAAGCTCTTTGACCAGACAAGAGTGGGTACATGCATGCCTTTCTAATTATGCTTTCTGTTGGGGCCACCTCAAAAACCAAACATTACAGATAATCATCCAGAATTAGAAGAAACAACACTACTGGAAGAGACAATCTGGATCTCTTTAATCCATGTGGTAACACAAATAGTGTCCCAGGTGAACAGGATTCCAGACTTATGCAGTTGGTCACAACATTTATGCAGACAGTGCCAAATCTAAACGAGACAGCAAATGACAATGTGTAAAGTGAAATTTGTTCCATCGGTAGATGGTAAGAAAAAGAAATAAAGTATTCATGTAGTCAGCTTCATGACACCTTGCTGTGGGTGGGTGCATTGGTCTTGGAACAGTTTTTGGAAATTGATTTCTAATTTTTGGAAATGAATTTTATCCAAGGTGCATCAAGTTAACTTTATGATAAATAATATTCAAGTGAATATTATGGACAAATTAGTAAATCTACCCCTAGGTACTGTGACTTATAGCAGAAATAAATGTGGAAAAGTTTAATCATAACTTCTCACTTCTTATTTTCTTTCATTCCTGGTATGTATATACCTAGCACCATAGATAAACATGAATATTTATTGGGGAATAAAAGAAATCAAAATGAGAACATAGGTAGCTGCCTTATACAGAAGTTAGCTATAGTCTAAGTTAGCATTATCAACACTGACTTGTAGTCTCAGATCATTTTTTTCTCCTAGTTTATCCATCCGGAAATGTTGAATATTAAAAATGTATCCTCTTATAACTTTAGGAGATTTTATCTTCATCACTACAGTGCTATTCAGTAGATTTGAGACTAGTTCATGAAACCTTTGAAAGCTGAGAATAGGATTCAAAAGACAGTGAAAGAAAAAGAAAAATAGAAGAAAAAGAAAGATTTATAGTAACAGAACATCAGCTCTGCTACATAATTTTCCTGAGCATATTTCTTTGACTCAAGAAGGTTGTAAGAGATAAGCATGTTTTGGCCAGTTGCCCAGACCTTGTTCGTTGCTGCTGCCAAATTTGTTGAGAATAAATCGGTGAAGATGTGTTGCTTAATCTTAGATAGTATGATGAATCTAGCATTTATTGCTGAGAATTACATTGATGAAAATACTGATTTGTTTGGATGCACTGAATCTTTGAAGTTTCTCATTTCCTAAACTAAATGGCAAATGGCTATAAAGTACTTATTTCAGAATAGTATAAATTTTTACTTATGTATAGACACAGCTTAGTTATCTCTAAGATTTGGTGTGAAACCGAGGTTTAAGTTAATATGTTTTCCTCAAAGCATATTCTTGAATTTTCCTTGATTATAACTACAAAATCCTTGAAGTTTTTAAATATTTAGTTGTAAAGGTCTAAGGTATAATCACAACTTAATTTTGCTCAAAAATAAATTTAATTTCTTAACCAGAGTTTCATCCCAAATTAAAGGAATTACAATTGGAATAAGAAATCAGTGGCAGAATTTCTGTGGGAAAGATTGAAATAGCCTTTTAAAAAATAGTAGCTTTATTATATAAAGCTGCACCATTTATAAACTATTATTATTTATTCATTCATTCATTCATTTATCAAATTTAAAAACTGCCCATCTCTCTCATAGAGGGACATTGGGCATTATACTGATAAAATATTAAAACATTAAAAACAATAGATAAAATTTTAAAAGACAAGGATGAATTTAAAAATGTGTGAAAGTGAATTAAAAATGGGAGACAGCTTTCAGAGTGCTGATCAGCTCCATGGCTTTGTGCTCCTATGTGAACCCCAAGCAAGGCCACAGGGCCATGTCTTCATATCTTTCCAGAAGGCCATAAGGGTGGGGGCCTGTTCATCTCCCAGAGTGGGGAAGAATATTCCAGAGGGTGGAGCAAGGATTGAAAAGACTCTCTTCTTGGACCCTTCCAGTTGAAATTATTTCATAGACAGTATTCATGACATTTTCCCCTCCTGATTGGGTGGGACAGGCTGATGTAATAGGACAATGATGCCCCGAGAAAGGAAAGAGAAAATGAATGTATTCACTGCTACTTTCTAACTTTGTACAGGCAGAAAAAAGATGTCATCCCTCTATTGCAATGATGCTGTGTATACAGTATAATCTTGGTTCAAAAAGTATTGACACTCATGCCAACTTACAGTCCTTTCTTCCTCTTCCTTCTGTCTATACTTCCTGAATTTGTCACATACTCATATTTGCTGAATGGCAAACGCCCATCCTTTATTTATTTTTTCAAAGTTTGAAATGAAATTGGATATTAATAGATTGATCACTTTTATAAAATAGCAAAACTGTTTTTCACAGAACAATATATTTAATAACAAGCAAACAAACCTAGATAAGAAACAATCCTCATTGTGTTGTTTGGGTTTTGTGAATGTCATCCCAGATAGATTTCTCCTTCCATTTTTTTCTAAGAATAAAAAAACAAGATATACTGCTACCTCTTTCTACTTTAACAAATGTCAATAAACTTAAGAAATATATTTTTTCTATGAATCACTAAACTTATGTCAGCCAATTTTTGATCCATAATTCCTCTCCTCTTTTTGGGACAATTTCAACCTATATATTTTCATCAAAGAAGCAGAGAAACAACTGAACCCTTTCACCTGAAATTTTGCTTTATGGCTTCGACGTATTGAATTGACATTCTGTTCCCAGATGACCATAATGTTTCACGTTGCACTGCACTTTAATTTAGCAGTTTCCTTAGCCTTCCTTGAAATGTGGCAGCTTATTAATCTCAATATTGGGGCTTCTTCATATATACAACCTACTTACAAAATATGCTGCTGCCCATTTATTACAAAAATTCTATTTTGATTATGGTTTGCACATCTTTTCTCCCCTTGTTAAAAAGAATAATGCAATTGTGCAGTATATAATCTCTCCCTGGATATTTAGAGTTCAAAGTTTTAAACTCTTCAGTGTTATCTTAGTAATGAGATATGTACTTCCCCTAGGTAGTGCAAAATGATAACATAAGGAAACAGGATGTCTCAACCACCATCTATTTTGTTTTGATTTTTATAAATTCTTTGCAAGTTTGTTAGAATTCCTTGGGAAAATAAAATTTGTTCTTATGGGAGATCAATTATATTATGTATAAAAGTGATATGAATATGTCAAGACACTTTCAT